CATGGGGGAGAAGAAGGGGGGAAATGGTGGGGGAAAGGGAGAGAGGCAAACCATGAGAGACTCTTGAATGCTGAGAAACAAACTGAGGACTGATGGATGTGGGGGGGAGGGGGGAGGATGGGCATGGAGGAGGGCACTTGTGGGGATGAGCACTGGGTGTTATATGGAAACCAATTTGACACAAAACTATTTGTAAAAAAAATAAAAAAAATTACAAAAAAGAAAAAAGATTTGTTCTTTGGAAGTTTGGTGAAGTTTCGCCAAACCTATGAGTCTATCCAAGCCTGGAATTTTGGGGGAGATAGGTCTTTGACCTTTGGTAAATATGTTTTATATTTATTGATTATTTGAAATAGTGTAATTACGCTCTCTACTTTTTCCCCCCGATCCAACCGTCACATTTCATTTTTTAAAAAATGTACCGTAGGTGATAGAAATGAAAAAACCTTATATAATTTTAAATTACAAACTGAATTCTTTAGCTATGGATTTTTCTTTTCTGTCACGGCAGGCATAGTTTAGATATTTCCTAATATAATAAGCCTCAATTAGCCAGACTACTGTGATAGGGAGAACTAATGGTTAATTTAATTTTCCAGTTTGCTGAGGGTGAACTGAAGGCCTTCTTTATGTTTCAACCTTGTTACTGGCAATCTTTATAAAATGTATGAGTCTACTTTTCTGCCTTAGTAAGTACAATATGGTTAACATTATTAAATCTTCCTGTGTTGATTGAAACTATTGTGATGTGTCAGAATCGATTCAAATAGCTTTGAGTGTGAACTGATGAAATCTGTGCTAAGCCCCAGGCACAGTCGGAGAGCTGCCTTGTTGAATAAGTCCCCGATTTCAACTTCACCATGCCTCTCCTTCTGCAAAGGTTTAGTGTAAAAACAAAAGCTCTGACTAAAAGAAAAAAAGGATTTGTTTTGGTGGATGAATCTAGCTGACTACATGATGTGCAAAGGGAAGTCCGCTGGTAACATTTACCGAGATTACAAATGTATTTACAACTGCCTCAGCAATCCTACTGATGCATGTATCCCTTAGATACACTTGCCACTCATGAAATTGGGTGTGCATATCACAACATTGTTTAATTGCTTATAACAACAAGAAACTGGAAACATCTTTTGATATGGTGGGTGCAAATACATAAACAATGGAGTGATGTGCAGTTGTCAAAAAGAATGAGAAAACTTCCTATAAACTGAAATGAAAAGAGCTCCAGAGTGCAGAACCATGCTCTCTGTATTTTGAGTAAAACAAGAGGAGATTTAACTATGCTGCATGCCTGCAATGAATGGGAAATTGTATGTCAACTATACTTGTTAGAAATAGGAAATTTTAAACATGTATTTTTCTTTACTTCTATTGTCATAAAGAAAAATTGAAGTAAATAAGAATACTACAATATAAAATATAGGTAATTGACTTGCATATAAATTCACAAAAGAAGAACAATTAATTAATGGCCACTAAACCTAAAAGAAAATGTTGAGTGTCTGTTATGTGCCCAGGATTTTGGTGTTGAAAAATAATCTCCTATTTTTAGGAGACATTTTGTTACTAATAGTATTTATTTGTTTGTTCATTCATTCATTTGTTTTTTTATGCTATCACTATTTAAAAATTTTTTTTCAATTCCTCAAATTGTGCACTTTATTTTTCTTTATTTTCTTTAATATAATTTATTGTCAAATTGGCTAACATACAGTGTGTATAGTGTGCTCTTGGTTTTGGGGGTAGATTCCCATGATTCATCGCTTACATACAACACCCAATGCTCATTTAACATTTATTCAGTTTTGAGAGACAGAGAGAGACAGAGAGCATGAATGGGGGAAGGACAGAGGGAGAGGAAGACACAGAATCTGAAGCCAGCTCCAGGCTCTGAGCTTTCAGCACAGAGCCCCGCAGAGGGCTCAAACTCGTGAGCTGTGAGATCATGACCTGAGCCAAAGTTGGATGCTCAACAGACTGAGCCACCCAGGCGCACCTCTATACCATCACTATTTTAAACTCAGAAAACACACTGGTGCATTGACAGGGAGAGAGAAAATTCAGTCACACATCTCTATGTTTACGGAGTATACAGGAAAGAGGATGAGTAGAGAAAGGCAATATGTGTTTTGCTGCTTTCAAGAGGAGACTTACTTTAATTGCTGAATATAGGGAATACCCATAATGCTTCTTAAACTCTGCTCGAATGTCCAAAAGGTCAATTTCTGATCTGGAAACCATTATTCGGTTCAGAGTAAACTCGTCAGTTCCAGCACCCTGTTAAGAAATACAGGTGTCCACAATACAAATCTCACTGGCCACAAAACAACATATAGATCTATATTTATAGAAAATATGCAACAACAGTGTTCTTCTTTACTCATTTGTCATCAAACTTTATCATTCATATATTCATGAAATATTTATTGAGCATGTACTCTATGCCATCACCATGCCAAACGTTGAAAACAGAAATGAGATACCCCTTTTAAGCTTTCAGTTTCGTAAAGGATACAGGCAAGAAAATAGGCCATTACAATATAATCCAACAGATGGGAAATATTGGGTACTGTGGGAGCATATGTAAGGAGGGCCTAAAATAGATCAGGAATTAGGAAAGGCCTGTCTGAGAAACCGATATTTTAGCTGGGGCCTAAATAATCAGCCAGAGGAAGAGAAGGTAAGGCTCATGTGGAGAGGGGAAAAAGATGTTACAAGAGAGGAGACAGCATGCATGAAATGCCACATTCAAGGGTGCATAAATAATGGGGAAGAACAGCAAGTAATGTGTCTGAAAGGCTGGATCCTGTAAACTATGAAATGAAATTCTGACTTTATTCCAGATGTGAAGAACAATTGGAATCTGTTGAACATGATAGTGTTGAGACCAGATCAGATTTGTGTTTCAGAAAATCCCTCTGACAGCTGTGTGAAGGTGAGATTGCAGGGCAAGAGTGTGATGAAGAGAACAGAATGAGACTATGAGCTTTGGGACCCATCCAGGGGTGACTGCGTAACAATCGAAGAACTCATGATGGCCTGACCTAGAATAATGGTGGTAGGAATGGAGAATATGGGTGGATTTAAGAGGTACTTATAAAGGTAGATTGACAAAACTTAAGAGATGTATCATTTGGGGAGAATAAAGGAGGGAGAGAAGTATAAAATTTCTTGCTGAGCAGTTAGACAGATATTGACACTATTCATTTCTTCATTCATTCAACAAACACTTACTGAACATCTATTAGATACCAGACATTGTTCCATGTACTGTGCATATGGTAGTGAACAGCACAGATTATACCTCTATTTGCATGGAGTTTACATTCTAATGGATGGAGATGGACAGTAAAGAAAATTAACATGTTTATGTAAAGAGTAATAAGAATTACATAATGGAGTGTGACTGAATGGAAGCAAATTGATCTGTTTAGTCAGGAAAGGCCTCTCTCAGGAGGTGACCTGAAAGATGAGAAGGAGCCAGCCAGAGGTAGATCTGGAGAAGGTACCTTCCAGGGAGAGAAGGCAACAAACTCCAAGACTCTGATGTGGGAAGATACTTGGCATAGTCAAGGACAGAAGGAAGGCCAAGGTGGCTGAGGCACAGAGGATGGGGTAAATGGTATTAACTTCAGAGAGTAGGGCAAGGCTAGTTCCTGGTGGGGTTATCCATGAGGTGACTAAACACAGGACAGGGAGCACTTCTGGGTGAGGTGAGGGACACAGTGTGTTCATTTTGAACAAAACTTTGAAGGCACATCTGGACCTTTATAGGAAATTTCCAGTAAAGAGACTGAAGTAAGTATCTTCTAATGTGCCAGGCTCAGTGCAAAGGTCTGAGGACAGAAAAAAGCTGGAAAAACACCTGTACTCAGAGACCTCGCCATCTAACAGCAGTAAAGAGACAAGGAAATGCAGGGTTTCTATAGCATGAAAGGCTACTAGCTCAACTTGGTTTATTTTAAGAAAGGCAGCCTCAGAGGCCCCTGGATCTAATGGGTCAGGCTTGAGGCTTGGTGCTTTAAAACAACTTTTACTGCCTGCAGTTACTGTGAAGTGGGGGAAATGATTTAGTCAACACATCACTGTACCTATCTCTCTAATGATTAGGAAACTCTCTATCTACCTGTGAGACAAATTAGTAGACAATTTAGCTACCAAAGAGAACTCATCAAAGGAGAAAAGACACATGAAATTCCATCAATATTATGCGATATTTTTTATATTCTCCTTGAGGGAGAATAAGAATGTATATGAAATTTCCAGACCAACCTTTAAAGCTTGATGTAGTCTTTCGGCTAAAAAGGCAGGCATGTTTCTGGCACAATGGACTGTTATAAAAAGCAAAGTAATTTTCAGTTTCATTTAATGGAAATTGAGTTAATCTATGGTAATATGTTTTTTAAAAAGATTCTTTGAGTAACCATACCACTCTACCCCCGCATCACCACTGGCTTTTATTTGGAATGAAGAGGTGAATGCTTCACCTGAATTTCAAAGGCTTATCACATCATATTTGCATAGAGCTCTCATACAGTAATTGTCTTTACTCATGGGGAAAATAAAATTACCTGCCAAAGAAACTCCCACAGCAGCTGACTCATCTCCAGGTCCCAGACACACCAACACCTACGCTTACATCGATAACTCCCTAGGCTGTACCGTTGCTCTGTTTCTAGCATCTTTGACTGCTGATAAATAACTTGGGTCTGAAGACTGCAGAGACCTCATTGAGAAGACCCATCCACTTATATAACAGTGTTGTGTGTCTGCTTGTTAATTCACATATCTCTAGGAACAGATTTGGCCTGTGACTGACTTTTTGTTCGATACTCCCTGTTAGCATGGCCAAGAGAGAGACCTATCGCTCTGACCTGGGCTCAGCTTTGGGAAGACATTGATATATTCCCAAAATAACCAAATATGATGAATTGCTAAATTGGCTTAGGTGCTCAGTCTTTCAACAAGCCTCAATAAAAATGGAAATAGAAATGTAATATTTTCTTCTTTCAGGGAGTTTACAAACCAAGTGTGGTGACAAACCAATACAAAGTTAAACGGCAAAATAAACCCTAAAAAGATAACTGCTTCATGCATCTGTTGAGCATATTTTGTGCCCCATGGACTGTGCTAGGGGGTATGGGAGCATAAAAATGGAGCAGTCAGGATTCTTATAGGAAAGGAGCTAATCACATCAATTTAAAACAAGTGCAAAGTAACTCAGTTTATAAACACTCAAGGGCTTACCTATGGCCAGCAGTAAGTCTTCAAAATGCCCAGACAATTCTCCTTTTATGCTGTCCTCAATGTCCTTCTGGCTAATATTTCTATATTCATCAAAAGCTAGAAAGCAGCACCACAAGAATATTTAAAGCATCCCAGCTGACCACTCTCGAATATATTCCAGTTTATTTGATATGCAGCAAATCAAGTTGTTAAATGTCAAACTCAAAAAACTCCTTCTTCAAACCATCAACATTTGAACATGGAATTTTTCGTTTCTTTTTAAAAAATCATATGCAATAAAACCTAAACTTGATAGCCATTTTCTTCAATGATCTCTTTCTCTCTTTTTCCCTCCCCCTTCCCAGGCTGATGGAATTTAAGATCATCTGAAAAGTTAAATAAAAAAATCATTTATTTAGGGGCACCTGGGTGGCTCAGTCAGGTAAGCGTCTGACTTCAGCTCAGGTCATGATCTCATGGTTCGTGAGGTCAAGCAAGCCCTGCACTGGGCTCTGTGCTGACAGCTCAGAGCCTGGAGCCTGCTTCCGATTCTGTGTCTCTGTCTCTCTCTGCCCCTCCCCCCATTCATTCTCTGTTTCTCTCTCTCTCAAAAATAAATAAACATTAAAAAAATTTTTTTTAAATTATCTAGTGCAGTGGGCTACATTTAAATTATAGCAGCACCTGGAAACAACAGTGTGGTCATTAGTCAAATTATGTTTTATCTGCTAATGAAATCTTCATTATGAAGATTTCTTTCTGCTGAGTAAGTCATTCTCAAAGGCAGCATGGCCTACTCACACTTACCAGAAGGCATTCAAATTTCCTGACTGGTTTTTGCCCCAAAACAAAACCCACACATATGTCCCTAAGTATGTAGGCATACTTTGTAAGCCAAGTAAATTTTGAAAAAAAATTTTGGAGAGAAATCTAGGATTGTTTGGTTTTTATGTTTCAAATAAAGATATTAATAAAGCAACTATAATATATAATATTACCATTATTTTATAAAGTAAGTGAAATTTTAATGCCAAAATTAAGGAAGGGCAATCTCAGAATTAAAAAGTCATGGTAATATCCTTATTTTCCTCATTTTTGCATGAACTCAACATAAGCCTAGTCGCGCATTGTGGTTGCTCTATCAACTGGCCCCTGGGAGCCACACTCAGATGTTCACAGCAAGTGGAGTTTTGGGCTTCTGGGTGCTTCCAGATGGTTCAGGGAGATACATGAATGAGGAGGTGGGAGCTTAGCAGTTCCATGTAATACTTGGTCTAACCAAAAGAACTCTGCCCCCCTTTCTTCAATTTGCCTTATATCAGAAAGCTGAATATTCATCCTTATTAATGCATTAAGATACCCTCACCCACAATGCCTGGGTTTTCTGGAAAGTGGCTAACTAGGAAAGTGACTAACTGGGTTGGAAACATTGCCTCAGCTTCCTGACTACCACTAGAATACTCCTCTCTCCTCTCACCCCAGAGGGCTCCCCCTTTTCTTCTCTTTGCTGTCCTCTCCCATCTGTTACCTGTCACTCAGTAGGTAATGTACTCAGCCTCGAGGGGAAGATGAAAGTAGTGTCAGTTCTGCCTTGAGTTGGCGCACAGCCCCCCCATGTTTTTTCCTGAAGTGCTTATACATGCAAATGGAATAGACTGCTATTTTTAGCTTCATTTTCCATAATTTTGTATATTAAGCCCCAAAACATTTGCAAATACAACACAAAGCAAAAAGGATTGTAATGTGAGTGCGTACTCAGTTTCAGCTGAGGAAAACTCCTTAAACACAGGATCTCGGTGAATTTATCTTCATCTGTGCCCCATCTATTCTCCCCAGCATTGTAGAGAATCTGTTGGATACGAAGGAAGACTTAGAATGTTATTATGGACACAATCTCTCCCTCTGTCTCTCTCTGTGTGTCTCTGTCTCGCTCCCCTGTTCAGAGGGTGTGGAATGAAAAGAGGAGGTCCTTGGTTGTAGAGGTCAGGGAGATAAATCTCTTGTCCAAGTCTCTCACCATTTCATTGTTAGCAAACTAGGAATCTAAGAGGGTGGCTGGAGCCTGAAGAATAATACCCACCACTGGGGAAGGCAGAGGGCTACAGCGGGTGATGCCCAGCTTTCAGGCTTTTCCTTCAGACAGGCCAGGAGAGGACAGCCTCCGGTGGTGCCACACAAATGAAAAGGCAGTCAAGGGGGAGAATGGTTACAGGAGATGTTTTCTTTGCTCTATTACTGACCTGGGCATCCTTTTTGGCCAGCTGCTCATCCACTTTTAGGCTTTCATCTCTTCTGCCCTAAACAGGAAAGATGCAAACAAAAGTAATCCTCTTAAATAAAGAAGGTTCTAACACTCAGTATTCCAATCAGCAGGATTTTTTAGAGGTTTTTTTCTCCAGCAGAGGCCACGAAGCACAGAGGAATCAGGCACTTAGGGCTCCTGTTCTGGCTCTGCTACTCATCAGCCATGAAATTTGTAGCAAATCACACAATTTTCTGAATTGGCATAAGGCATGAAAGACACTTAGCATTTTACTAAGTGTAAGAAGCCAGTTTGAAGAGGCAACATACTATATTGTTCCCACCATTGTTATTTTGCCTGGAAAAGGCAAAATAACAGAGACAGTAAAAAAAAAAAACACCAGTGTTTGCCAGGGGTTTGAAGGGAGAAAGAGAAGGATGAAGAGCTGGAGAGCATGAATTTTAGGGCAGTGAAACTATTCTGGGTGATACTGTAACAGTAGATACATGACATCATACATTTGTCCAAACCCATGAGTGAATCCTAATGTCCACCATGGACTCTGGTTAATAATAATGTAGCAGTGGTGATTCACCAACTATAATATACCACACTCATGCAAGATATTAATAGAGGGACCTGTGAGGGGCATAAGGGAACTCTCTGTACTTTCTGGTCCATTTTTCCAGAAGTCTAAAACTGCTCTGAAAGGTAAAGTCTGTTAAAAAGACAAAACCCTTCAAGGTTCCCACCACCTCCAGCACTGAGAGTTCTGGGGCTAAGTGTGTGTGTGCGCGCTCATGCACAGAAGCTCAGCACACTACAGAAAGGCGGGAAAAGGGATAGGAAAAAGAGGATTGCCAGAATTATTTTGAAATGTTTAGGTGAATGAAATGTTTGGCCATAATATTTTTAATGTTTTTTTTGTTTTTTTTTTTTTATTTCTAGGAGAGAGAGAGAGACAGCGTGAGCAGGGGAGGGTCAGAGAGAGAGGGAGTCACAGACTGAAACAGGCTCTAGGCTCTGAGCTGGGAGTCAGCACAGAGCCCGACGCGGGGCTCGAACCCACGAACCGCGAGATCATGACCCAAGCGAAAGTCGGTCGCTTAACCGACTAAGCCACCCAGGCGCCCCTGGCCATAATATTTTTAAAAGGCATTTATTCCCATTCTCAAACATGAGTTCCTTGTGTGCTTGTGTGATTTCCACATGGTTTCTTTTATTTTCCTCTTCAGTGCTGCTGCCACTCCACTCTTAGTTTGTCTTTTTGTTCGGTTTCATTGTACACTCTGCTCCAGGGCGCCTGGGTGGCTTAACTGGTTGAGTTTCTGACTCTTGATTTCTGCTCAGGTCATGATCTCACAGTCCATAAGTTCAAGCCCTGCATCAGGCTCTGCACTGACAGTGTGGATCCTGCTTGAGGTTCTTTCTCTCTCTCTCCCTCTGCCCTCCCACCCCTCGCTCTTTCTCTCTCAACATAAATAAATAAACTTAAAAAAAAGAAAAGAAAAATGCTGACTACCAATGGTACTACAAATAATAAGCCACTGTCACCTTGTCTCAATCACTTTTTATGTGCTATGGACTTCACACACAGGTGTGCTCTCTCTTAATCTTCACAACGCCCCCTGAGGCTAGGTACTATTATCATTTTAATTTTACAGATGTGAAAACAGAAGTTTTAAGGCTTAAAGTAACTTGTCCAAATAAAGCTAGGCAGCCGAGGAGTTTGAGAGGCCAGGGCAGTATGATTCTAAACACCTGGCCTGAAGTCCTACTCTACACTGCTTCCTGTGGAGGTTGTGTGCTCCTGTGTGTGCACAAACGCATGTGCGCTCTTGCACACAAACCTGTGTGAGTGTGTGTTTGCAGCAATGCCTCATCAGTTGGCTTTGTCGGTTCGACCTTTAAGGTTTACACCATTTAAAATAACTGAAACCATAATTAGGATAAATTTTCTTGTGGCGTAATGCCTCACTTTGACAAGTACTATTTCTACCCTCAGGCTGAGCCCAGCGTTGGGACTTTTCTCACACGTTAAGAGCTGTGTAAATCCGCCGAAAGAGGCCAGTGAGATATGGCTTAAATCACCTCCTCTCTTGTACACATATGTGGTTATATTTCACCCTTGACCTTACCACCTTTATTGTAAAGTCATGAGCCTCTTAAGAAGAGAGAGCTAGATGTGGCCTCATTTGGTCACATGCTGATGAATGGTTTAGCAACTCTTCCAAAGGTGGCAATGATAAAGTTTCAGCACGTCTTGTTTTTGTTTGTTTTTGTTTTCTCAAGTCTTTTTTTTAAAGATGTTTTTAAAAATCTTTTTTTTTTTAAATTTTTGAGAGAGAGGGAGAGACAAAGTGCAAGCAGGGGAGGGGGAGAGACAGAGAAAGACAGAATCTGGAGCAGGCTCCAGGCTCTGAGCTGTCAGAATAGAGCCCGATGCAGGGCTGGGACCCGATGCAGGGTTAAGCTGAAGTCAGACGCTTAACCAAAAGAGCCACCTAGGTGCCCCGTCACAAGTCTTTTTTTTTTTTTTTTTTAATCCAGAGACTGATATACCCATTTCTGAAGCAAATTTTTCTGTATCTTGCTTCTTACTTAATTTAAATACTAACAAAAGAAATATATATTCTTTGGAGTCCAGAAATGAAAATGTAAAAGGAATGTATTATTTCCCAAGGAGAATTGCAATCTTATTGTCTCAGTTTGGTTATTTTTAAACTCCCTAAAAATTATCATTGAGCATGCAGCTTACCGGGCAGTTAAGAAAAAATCAAAACTTACATCTGCCAAAGTCAATAGAGCTTTCCGGAAATCACCAGATGTTTCAGAACTAATGTCATCTCCAAGACTCTTCTTATATACTGAAACCAAAGAAGAATACATTAAGCCTTGACAAACTGAAAACCATTATTACAAAACAAAGAAAAGCTTGAATGTCAACATTGGTAAGGAGTGAGTACCTGGTAAAATAAATCTTACCTCTTTTTTTTTTTTAACTTCCCGGTTTCTTCTGATATTGATATGTTCTTCTCATAACTATTATCGTAGTGTGTGTGGTGGTAGATGCATAAGAACAGAAAGAATTGCCCTTGTGGGTCAAATCATGATCCAGCTCATCTTTTAGCTGGGTACAGCTCGAGGACTAAGTCCTCAGCAATGAAATGTAGGCACACACATGTGACATTGCTGGGAGATCTCCTTCAGGGATGGCTCATGCCATTCCTTTATCATACTGCCTGGAAGGTAGACTGACACCCAGAAGTCAGGCAACCATCTTGGACTCTGAAGAGAAGACTCCGCCTTAGCAACAGCACGAAAAGAAGCAAGAAGGGGCCTGGGTTCCTGAAACTGCGGGGAGCTATACTGCCAGTGCTAGCATTACCTGTCTCCAACCTCTTCTCTCTAGGAGAGAAATACATTTTTATCTTACCTGAGCCACTGTTATTTTTTCATTTTATTGAACCTAGCCTTAATTGTAATGTATATACCTAGACTATATTATTTGACACCTCTCAAAAGTGAGAAAATCTCCCTAAAATATACCAATTCCCCATGATGATTGCCAGTTGTGTATTCACATATTTCAGGACTAATTGTAGGCACTCTTGCATAGCCTGTGATGTGCAATGTCCATTGACTTTACACCTCTTTTTTGCTCCAGCCACAAGGTAGTGGTTCACTGGCAGCTGCCACATACCTGAACATCGCTGACACCAGGTAGGTTTTTGAACTCTGCTTGCATCACTCTCAAGAACTCTCTGGTCATATGACTGTATGTCCTTTTAAATCAACAAAAGATGATACTAGCAGGTGAGGTGAGATTATTTAATAGCAAGAACTGTGTTGAAATAGACACTTTTCTAGCATGATTTTAGCATGACTTTCTTTTTTTTTAAACAAAATCTATAATTTTTCAAAGCAATTCAAATAAGCAAAATCCATTAGGAATGTAAGTTATTTATCTAAATAATAACACTCAATAGGCATCATTTTATCTAACAGTTGTGATATTGTTTTATCTATCCTTCATTCTAATGGCAAAACAATTTTTTATTTTAAAAATATCCAGTCAAAGAATAAAGCTCTTGCTTGTTAAAATTTGGGGGAAGTATAATTTCTAATTTTAGAATTCTCTAATGATATTTTAAAGTTATCTCATTAAGCCTCGCCATGCCTCCCTTACCCCAGATACTTTTCAGGAAATTAGACCAAAAAAATGAAAATTGACAACTATTTTACACATTTTGAGCACAGTAGAGTATAGAAAAACAAACACAATGACTTGATAGTGCAGGAGCCTAAGTCAGAACTTAGGGTTCTTGATCCATGATTCAATATTCTGTCATATACCATTAACCTAAAAATACTAGAGGGGCACCTGGGTGGTTCAGTCAATTAAGTGTCCAACTCTTCATTTTGGCTCAGGTCATGTTCTCCTGGTTTGTGAGACAGAGCCCCATGTCGTGCTCTGTGCTGACAGTGTGGAGCCAGCTTGGAACTCTTGCTCTCCCTTTCTCTTTGTCCTCCTCCCACTTGTACTCTCTCTCTCCCTCTCAAAATAAATAAACATTAAAAAAAGATAAAACGGTAGAAAAAGTTCAGAATTCATCTCTGTATTTAGACTCTATCATGTCATTGTACTGGATGAGCCACACGAGACACCTGGTCCTACTATGAAAGCCAAGACGGTAGCCAACTTTAATGAATGTCGTATGCATGAGCCACCATTTCACATCATATGACACTGTCACTCTTGCTACAACTGACTGCCATAGGATTGGCATCTGACTATAGGTGGCCAGCAGCCTAAGAGGTTGGGAGAACGTTGCCCCAGATAATGTTCTCTATTAGATGGTGCTTTCCTGAGCCCGCTGAATCTTCTCTTAAGGAGTGAGCTGTACAGAAAAAGAGTCAAAGACAGTATAGTAACAAAGAAGTGGAAAGACCCTAAGGAATAAGGCACAAAACAGAAGCCAAGAAAAACCATAAACCATGGGGGCAAATAAAAGCCTAAGCAGACAAACACCTTGTGGTAAGGGGAGAGAAGTTACTTGGTGCTGTCAAGAACAGAAGCAGAAAGGGAGAGGAAGGAGTGATTGAAACAGAAATATTAGCACAGGAAGCAATGGATGCTTGGTGTTGAGGGTGGGACAAGATGGCCAAGTTCCCAGGGTAGTGCTGTGTCCTGAATCTCTGTACAGCTTGTCTACACATGATTAAGACTGTTTCCTTCTTTTACTTCTTACATATCATTAACCCCTATTAATTAAGGTAACCTAGATGCTGTTCCATTCCTTATAGCTTTAGAGAGCTTATCTCACATAGATCTAGGGGCCTCTGATAACTTTGAACTATTACCACAATTTATATCTTCAAAACAAGTCCTAAATGCTAGAACTTTCACTTGGCTCTTAAGATGACAATCTTAATCTTGAGGATATTCATTCAATGCAAATTGGAATTTATTCCCCTCTGTTCTGGACATTGGAGCTACAGCAGTGAACAAAACCAGACAAAGTTCCTGCCTTCATAGAGCTTATGTCTTAGGGTTATTTGTACAAAGACGCTGGACCCCAGAGATCCATCAAGCAGCAGGTCAACTCATGGAGCAGTAACTCTTCTACCAAATACCAGGAAGTAACAAGTCACCTTGGGATACAGCCTCTGGCTCTGATGATTTTTTTATATGCAAATCTCAATGAACTGAGAGAATCAAATATTTTCAATACCTATCATGTACCTGTTTGTGGCTATTATTAAGCAATTCATCTACTCCAAATTCAGCCTTCTATACCTTGCTTTGCAGAGCTGGGATTGGGGTGCTGCAAATGACACTTGTCTTGTGTCCCCCTTTCCCCTGCCCCAGCTCCCTGTTATGTCCACCACCAGGGAAGGGGTCAGGTAGAGGGAGACTGGAAGTCCAGCAAGAGCAGAACAGGCTAGCTGTTTGCTACTCACATGAGTGCAAACCAGTGAGGGTCTTTCATTCGGGCAGTAGCAGGTGGCTCCAGAACGAGTACCTAGTTCTAGTGCCTCTAGAACGAGTCACATAGCATGGGGTGTCAGCTCTGGCCAGATGCAGCCCTTTTGCAGAGACTGGAACTCTAGTTCCTTAAATCTCTCCTGTGAGCCCCTGAGGCATCAGCACTGGCCAGGAGGTACTCCTCTGAGGTTCTAGTTTCTGAAAACTCCACCTTCTTTCCTTTGTTGTTCTAGGTTTGTTTCTACCTCTGTGCCATCCCTGTGTTCCCGTTTAGCTTTTTCAGTCCTTCAAAAAACACCTTTAAAGAGTTCTCTATGTTAAATTCTGCTAAAATGCCTCATACTGCTTGTTTTTATGGAGCCCTTATGAGCACATGAATAAAATAGTCATTTACCTACCATTGAGCTGAATGAAGGTATTTACGTGCTAATGAGAATTTCTCAAAGTAACCTATCTGACGCCATTTAGGAGCCAGGATATCCCTCCTCTGGACTTGTACTGCAGAACCTCCCTGATACAGAAACCTACAAACTGTGGCTCCCTCGGGGTACTTTGGCAGGGCTACGGGGGGCTATTGTATAATGCAGAAGTTGGGCTGGTCTCTGTTCTGGTTTCTAAGAGGTAACCTCTAAATCCTTGGAATTTCCCAAATAATAGGAATGTCTGTTATTCGTGGCAGGAACCATGAACCTGAGCTGAATTTATGCTACCAAGACAACTGGGGGTAGGGGTGGGGGGCGGGGGTGCTATTCCCGTCAGAAAGACCAGCCACACAATTAGAAGGGTTTGGGCTTTGAGCCACGTGATATCAGCCTGGGGACTGGAGACGAAGTTCAGTCATGTGGCCAGTTATGCAATCAGTCATGCCTATGTAATGAATCCTTAATAAAATTTGGATACCAAAGATCCTAGGAGTTTCCCAGGTTGGTGATTATATATCCATGTGCCGGGAAGGAGGTGCAACCTGAGAACATGGAAGCTTTACATCTGGGACCCTCTCAGACCTCTCCTCTGAATGTTTTCATTTGCCTGGTCCTCATTTCTAGTCTTTCAAGTAGAACTAGAAGTATAGCTCACCTGTGAACAACATGGGAGTGAGCTGCACAGTCTACCTGTATGTGAGTGTTTTCAACAAACGCAGTAAAATTTTGTAAATGTACTTTCTCTTCCTTATGATTTTCTTTTTTGTTTGTTTAAATGTTTATTCATTTTTGAAAGGGGGGAGAGAGAGAGAAAGAGAGAGAGAATGCAAGAACATGAGCAGGGGAGGGGCAGAGAGAGGGGACAGAGGACCTGAGGCTGGCTCTGTGCTGACAGCAGAGAGCCCAATGCGGGGCTCAAACTCATGAACCAGAGATCATGACCTGAGACAAATTCGGATGCTCAACCCCCTGAGCTACCCAATGCCCCTCCTTGTGATTTTCTAAAAACCATTTTTTAAAATCTCCAGCTTACTTTATTATAAGATCACAGTATATAATACATATAGCATATAATGTATGTGTTAATTGACTGTTTATGTTACCCGTAAGGTTTCTGGTCAACAGCAGGCTATTAGTAGTTAAGTTTTGGGGAGTTAGAAGTTCTACATGGATTTTGAACTGTGCAAGGGGTGGGGCCCCTCCCCTCGTGTTGTTCAGAGGTTGACTGTATAGTGCTTTCTTAAGTTCCATGGGTCATTCTAGTGAGCTATTGAACCTGAGGAAGTAGTGAGAGCCCCTGAATTTGTAGCCATTTGGTCAGAAGGGCATGTGGCCTGGGAGCGTCGAGCTTGTGGCTGGCATCTGAAGTGAGGGTAGCCCTGTGGGGACTGTGCTTTAACTTGTGTAGTCATGCTAACCCCGGGTAGTCCACGTCAGAATTACACTACAGGGACTCTCTAATTTGTACACAGCTAACAGACTATTAGGACTTTAGCTAATTATACTGAATCTACATGCTCAACACTTTCTCTAAACGGTTTATCTCATTTTCTACACCAAAAATCATGAGGCTAATCTGAGCGGTTTTTAACATGTAATATTAATATACAATGATTTGAATCTCTTACGCTGATGAACATAGCTGATTCAGTAAGCAGTGATTGCCAAGGGCAAAATCCACTATTGCTGCAATGTTATAAATGTGAAGTGTCAATGCCATTCTTATGCAGCAGTATCTGGCTTGGGTCACATTCAAAATTTCTCTGAAAATCCACAGACCTTAGCTCATTTTAGAATGCATCCTCCTGGGGAGCCTGGGTGGCTCAGTCGGTTGATTGTCCGACTTCAGCTCAGGCTATGATCTCACAGTTCGTGGGTTTAAGCCCTGTGCTGTGCTGACAGCTTGGAGCCTGGAGCCTACTTCGCATTCTGTGTCTCCCTCTCTCTCTGCCCCTCCCCTGCTCATGCTGTCTCTCTCAAATATAAATAAACATTTAAAAAAATTTAGAATGTATCCTCCTTTTTAATGTCTTGCCTTCCCAAAATGCCTTGCGAAGAAGAGCGTGATGAGTTTCTGGGAAAAGCAACAATGGCTCATATGTGTGTGGACAGTGGTAAAAGTAAGCAGAAAAGAAGACCACCTGTGTAGTAGGCTTGAGAGATCTCCTTCATCTGCCTGCTTGTTCTGGTGGTTAAGATTTCAATCAATGCATGCTCACTTGTTCCAGCACCCTAAAAAGGAAAAAGTAACCTATTTTTAGAAGACCTAAAAAGCTTTATTTCATGCATTTCAGGCTTGATATCTTGTTTTATACAGACGAAAAGAAGTTTTAGTAAATCCACATTAGGTTGTATATTGCTATAGTTTTCTAATTTTTCCACATATTTTAGTACAAAAATAAAACAAATCATCTAAACGGACACCATAGTTTTCAAGAAAATGTCCTACTCTAGTGTAAAAAATCAATTGAATAATTGTAGGAAGAAACAGTACAAAGGGAAAAGCCTATGCCATTCAAGATCAGAAGTGAGCATGTGAACACACCATGATGTTTATTAAGGGCTTGGCAATTCTTTTGAATGAGTTCATCCTTTTACCAATGCACTAGGTTGGTGTCATCTTCATACAGGGAGATTTTTAAAGCCTTAATAATGTATGTCATGGGCCTAGTTGACTTGGGGACTAGTTACCATGAGCCTTGGTTTATACGGAGGTCACCGAATCATTCTGTGACTCCAAGAAAAGCCATTTATACTAGCACTTGATCAAATAAGGTTGATGCAGCTTCTGAACAGAGACTGAATTCGGTCCCTCTGTGGCAGAAATTCCTAGTTGCCCTCAACAACTCTCCTTTTTAATTAATTAACTAATTCATTAATATAAAAAACAGAGTATTTTTTAGATCAGTTTTAGGTTGATGGCAAAACTGAATGGATCCATCTCTTTTACTTTCCTTGCTTAAAATAAAACCCTCACTTTTGGGGCTCCTGGGTGGCTCAGTCGGTTAAGCGTCCAACTTAGGCTCAGGTCATGATCTCATGGTTCGTGGGTTCGAGCCCTGCATCAGGCTCTGTGCTGACAACTAGCTCAGAGCCTGGAGCCTGTCTTGGATTCTCTGTCTCCCTCTCTCTCTGACCCTCCCCTGTTCACGCTATCTCCCTCTCTCTCAGAAATAAATAAAACATTTTTTAAAAAGTTTAAGAAAATAAATAAAACAAAATTCTCACGTTTAATTTAGGTTTACCCAAATAGATAGGATATTATTCAGCCTCCCTTAAAGCTAGGTTTATTCATATGACTAAATTATGATCAGTAGAGTATATATAAATACCACATACAATTTCTGAGAATTTCTTTAAGGAGAGAGAGGGAATGAACCCTTCTTTGTCTCTTACTCTTTTTAGCTGACTGGGACAAAGACTTAATGCCTGGATTTTGAGTTGCCATCTTTAGCCAAAAAGTGAAATCTACAGGCTGAAGATGGACAGGCCTCAAGATAGAAGTAGCCTGAGTGTCTGATAATGGTAGCACCATGACACCCAGCTCTGGACTGCTTACTTAGGATTTTTTTGCATAAGAAAGAAATGTTTTGAATCTTTGTTGGTGAACCTAATCCTTATTATTACACCTGTTAAACTGTCCCTCATGTGGCAGCCATAGAAATGCACCGCTCAGATTTCATTTTAAGAGAGTCTGCTGCAAAGAGCGTAGTTGGTTGATAGCCGCCAACTGCCATAGCTCTGGATCTGCCACACGGTTCACAAAGAGGCCATCCTCCCTCAAGCTGCTCTCAGCGAGTGACTGCACATGGAAGGGGTATTGGAGCTGGGCCATTTTTGCCCTGTGCAGGACTTCTCCAAAGGGCAGTGTTTGCTCTGCAGCTCCCTGTCGGCCTGCCACAGCTTTCTCAGAGCTGCCCTGTGCACAGAGGCTCCTCCTATCTGAGCTTACTTCTCTCCCTCTGTCATGTGTATAGGCCCTGTATGGCCATCTGAAGCTTCAACCAACGTACCCTGCTCTGCCTCTTTGTCTTTCTTAAGATTTCCTCCCTAGGTGGGTGGGCAGGGAGCCTGGGTGGCTCAGTCAGTTAAGAAACCGACTTTGGCTCAGTCGTGATCCCGCAGTTTGTGAGTTCAAGCCCCACGTCGGGCTCTGTGCTGACAGCTCAGAGCCTGGAGCCTGCTTCAGATTCTGTGTCTCCGTCCCTTTCTGCCCCTCCCCCACTCATGTTCTGTCTCTCTGTCTCTCAAAAAATTAATAAAATGAATAAAAGTTAAAAATAAATGTTAAAAAAAAAAAAGATTTCCTCCAGGAAATCTCTTGTGTGTCTCATCCCATCTTGCCATATGCTTCTTGGGTGCCCATATCTCTTCCACAGAAAAGAATCTCCCATCTCTGATAAGGAGGCAGAATACAGGTTATGCCTCAGATCTAGCCTCCTTCCTTCCCCTCCTTCCTATCAACAAATGTATTGAGCACCTACTTCATTTCAGAAGATGCAGACCAAAACTGATGAGATTTCCTGTTATGACAGAGATTTGCCTTTTGATTGGATGGAAAAAAACAATAAACAAGTGAAAAAAAATAAATGAGATAATTTTAGATAGTAATAGGTGCAATTAAGAGAATAAAATTGAGTGAACTGATAGAAAATATATGGAGGGGAACATTCCAGATGGAAAGAACGTCATGTATAAAGACCTCAAGGTGGGGATAAGCCTAGAATGTTCAAGCATCAGAGAGAAGTCTGGTTTAGCTGTAGCACTGAATCAGGGAAAAGGGAGGGGAGAGTGTGATGGGAAGTTTTATGGACCTTTATCAACTTGGCCAGGCTACAGTCCTCAGTTACTCAATCCAACACAAATCTAGGTTTGCTGTGAAGGTATTTTCTAGATATAACTAAAGTCCATTATTGAGAGCCCTGGTTTAAAAAAAAATTTTTTAATGTTTTATTTATTTCTGAGAGAGAGGGAGAGAGGCAGCGTGAGCAGGGGAGGGTCAGAGAGAGAGGGAGACACAGAATCCAAAGCAGGCTCCAGGCTCTGAGCTGCCAGCACAGAGCCCAATGTGGGGCTCAAACTCAAGAACCATGAGATCATGACCTGAACTAAAGTTGGATGCTCAACTGACTGAGCCACCCAGGTGCCGCCATTATTGAATGTCCTTAAGTAAGGGAGAGCACCTTAGATATTTCAGGTGGACCCAATTTAGTCAGTTGAAAAGCTTTCAGTGCAGAGGTGAGGCTTCTCTGAAGAAGAAATTCCATCTGTGGGACACAGCTCCAGCTTGTGCTGAGACTTCCAGCCTGCCCTACAGATTTTGGATCTGCCCAGCCAGGTCCATGATTATGTAACCAATTCCTTGCAATAAATCTCACAATATGTATCTCCTTCCTACTGCTTCTGCTTCTCTGGGAAACCTTGATCAGTACAGATAGAATTTTTAATAAGTCACAGAGATAGACAGGAGCCAGATTGTGATAGGTGATGATGGCCATGGTAAGAAGTTTGGATTTTAAGTATTCAAAGCCATTGGAGATTTATGCAGGTGAATAGTATAATGGGATTCTAAAATTGACTTCATAAAAGTAACTTTGGCTATTCTGTGGTGAATGGATTTCAGGGGAGCCAAAAATAAGAGGCAAAGGGACCAATTAGGAAGCTATTGATATGGTCCAGTCAAAAGATGGTGGTTGGTAGTTGAACTAGAATGGTAGCAATGGATTCTGAGAGACTTACACACATTTCTTTTTTTTTTTTTTTTTTGAGAGAGAGTGCACATGTGTACAGGAGCACACCAGGAAGCATGTGAGTGGGGGAGGGGTGGAGAGAGGAGAAAGAGAATCCCGAGCAGGCTCTGCACTGTCAGAGCAGAGCCTGTCGTGGGGTTTGAACTCCTGAACCACGACATCATGATCTGAGCTGAAACCAAGAGTTTCACCAACGGAGCCACCCAGGTGCACTGAACATACTTCTGATAGATGGACTTGCAGACAGATTTTGGGAGCTTTGAAGAGTGAGTGAAAGCAAGGGATCAAAGATTCTTCAGGGTTTCTGACCTAAGCAATGGGATTGATGATGGTGCCATTTACTCTGAATGACAACAAAGTAGAGAATTTGACTCTTGGGGTCAAAACTAATGGAAACAGAATTAGGATATGAGAGTATCCTTTCAGCCCAGGAACATGTGGGCTCGAGGTTCCACAACCGCTCCCCATTTCAGGACTGTTCTACCACTCGGATAGTACAGCATCAAAATGACATCCCATCTGTCCTACTTACACCCATATCTCAAGTGTGCACTGGAAGAAAGTCATTACTGTTGATGACATAGACAAATCTCAGGTGGAAACGGCTCAGACTGGGCTCATACCTTCATGGATTTCTTCAGTTGCTTCGCATCAAACATGGCTGGAGGAGTCACAAGGGCCACCATGAGCTCCTTAAAGTGGCCAGAGAGATCACCCTTCAAGTCATCTTTCAGCTCCTGAAATGAAGAAACCAAAGAGCAAAGTGTGAAATACTTTTCCTTTCTCTTTCTTTAAAGTCACCTAGTGAAAGATAAACATATGTATCGATTCAAATAAAAACATGCCAATTCACAGGGAATAAAAAGAAATGGTGAACTATTTCTAAGGATATTAATCTGCATTTTGTGACCACTTCCAACGTGTTCTGTTTTATAGGTTTTCTGAAGGAAAGCCAATGGAAGGGGTTACATGAGTGCCACTGATAGGAACTGGGTAGCAAAATGCATTTCCCAGGTCCAAGATGCTCTCAATACTTGGGTTGGGGCGGGGGGAAGAAGAGGAAGAACAGGAGCCCTGTAATTCACACCCAGCTTCATGGTAGTTGTTCGATTCCTGCCTCGTTTCTCAGTGACCGCTAAAGAACCCTGGAGAGAAAAGGGAACAGAGGACAGTGGCTGGTCACTTGCTTCTGCTTAGAGTGTGGAACCATGAGCCATCAAAAGCAGTTTCCTGGCAACGGCAGGGAAAACCCTAACTGTGATGGGGCACCTGTTAGTATTGTTCCTTGGCACTGTTTTCACGCATTACATAAGTACAGTTCATCTCCCCTGCTTGAAGGCAGGTAATGGTTTGAATGTTCAATATTCCAAGGAGTGTTATTGAATTATTTTCTTGCTCTTGATTATTTCCACCTCCGAGACAGAGGCTGGCAGCCTCCCAGACTGCTATGACAATGTGGATACAGACCACCATCTACCATGCCACTGAGGGTCCCCGTGGGGGACCAGCTAAACAAATGGGAGGGAGCCAAGTGTCACTAGCTCTGCTTTAATTGCCACAGGGAGTTTCCTCTCTAAATGCTAAACTCTATTGCCATCTGTCCTCAACCCAGGACTTTCCAACTGAATCTTACTTCACATGCTCTCATTCTATACAACTGTGAAAAACCGGTCACCCTTCACCTCCATCCTTCCTTCCTCCATATTTTGGAAATCCTGAAAGGCCAATGGATCATTCATGTTCCCTCTACATTGAGCGTTTTGCCTTTTCGAGAAGACTGGCAACTCATTAAATTTGACAGATGTTTACTTGGCACCTGCTCTGTGGTAGGCTTTTATTTATTTAAAAAAAAAATTTACTGTTTATTTATCTTTGAGAGAGAGAGCGAGCACTAACAGGGGAGGGTCAGAGAGAGAAGAAGACACAGAATCTAAAGCAGGCTCTAGGCCCTGAGCTGTCAGCACTGAGCCCAACACGGGACTCGAACCCACAAACTGAGATCATGACCTGAGCTGAAGTCGGACAACCAACTGAGCCACCCAGGTGCCCCTGTGGTAGGCTTTTAAAGGTGAGTTAGACACAATCTTTACTCTTTGGACATTATGCCCTTAAGAAAACCAGAAATATTTGAAGATAAAATTTCAATATAATAGGTCAAGTATCTGATAAAGTGTGAAGGTTAAATATTAAGAAGGGTGTCTTAATGGAGTCTGGAGGCTTGGAGAACACTGCCAGGAGGTGACGCCTGAGCTGCCTGTGGATGGTCACTATACACCCTCAGTTCTCACCTGGACTCAGCAGGCTGACTGCTCTGTATTTCTCTTTTCTCTCCACAGTTTGTTAGCCACAGAAGCTAAAAATGATCTTTTGAAAATATAAATTAGTTTACAGTATTCCTTCGCTTACAGACTTCCAATGATTCTCTGTTGTTCTTAGAATAAAACCTAAACTCTGTAGCAAGACAGCAAAGCCTAGCATATTTGAAACCTCTCTCCAACAGCATCTTTTCCATTTGCTCCTCTTATTCTCCACACTTCTGCCATATTGGAAGTCTTTCTGTTTCTTAAATATTCCTGGCTTGTTTTTGCCTCGGGGCTTTTGCATTTGCTGTGCCTTCTGTCTGAAATGCTCTTCCCCAAATCAAGCAAATAAAAAAACAAAAACAAAAACAAAAAACCAGAATCCTTAGTACTGTTTAGTTTTAGCTAAGAGTAAGGTAACATCTCCTCACTGATATGTTTCCACCACCCTATTTCAAGGAGCCATTTACCAGTCACTCTGTACCATCCCATCCCATTTTAATTCTTTATTTTTATTTTTTTTAAAATGTTTTATTTATTTCTGAGAGAGAGAGAGAGAGAGAGAGAGATGAGAGGAGAGTCAGAGAGAGAGGGAGATACAGAATCTGAAACAGGCTCCAGGCTCTGAGCTAGCTGTCAGCATAGAGCCTGACACGGGGCTTGAACCCACAAACTGTGAGATCATGACCTGAGCCAAAGTCAGATGCCCAACCAACTGAGCCACCCAGGCGCCTCCCCTCCCCATTTTAATTCTTTCATAGAACTTACCAACATCTGAGCCTATTTTATTTACTTATTTTTTCTTAAAAAAATTTTTTTTCAATTTTTATTTATTTTTGAGAGAGAGACAGAGCTTAAGTAGGGAAGGCACACAGAGAGAGGGAGACACAGAGCTGTCAGCACAGAGCCCAAGGCGGGGCTCAAACCCACAAAGCACGAAACTCAGTTGGCTAAGCGTCTGACTTCGACGCAGGTCATGATTTCACGGTTCGTGAGTTCGAGTCCCACATCAGGCTCTGTGCTGACAGCTCAGAGCAAGGAGCCTGCTTCCAATTCTGTGTCTCCTTCCCTCTCTACCCCTCCCTTGCGCATATATACACACACTCTCTCTCTCTCTCTCTCAAAAATAAATAAACATTAAAAAACCCCACAAACCACAAGAGTATAACCTGAGCCAAACGAAGTTAGATGCTTAACCAACTGAGCCACACAGGTGCCCCTACTTCTTATTTTAACCTTTTCTTATGAGGTTAAAATGTTAACCTCATAAGAAAAAGAAGGATCTGCTTTTTAAATCAGTGTGTCTCCAAAGACAAGTATATCTCTGGACACAGAGTAATACCGACGCCTAACACATCGTAGTTTATTATTAAACAAATACACCGTGTGGAAAAAACACAAAATGTTCTTGTTGGAAGACAAATTAAAGATCATCCAAGAGAGGATCCATCAGATAATTGGTCAGATAATTCTTTTTTTTAAGTTCATTTATTTATTTTGAGAAAGAGAGAGACAGAACACTCAAGTGGGGGAGGGGCTGAGAAAAGGGAGAGAGAGAATCCCAAACAGCCTCTGCCCTGTCAGCACAGAGCTTGATGTGGGGTTAAAACCCACAAACAGAAATATGGAACACTTAACGAATTTGCATGTCATCCTTGCACAGGGGCTGTGCTAATCTTCTCTGTATCATTCCAGTTCTAGAATATGAGCAGCCAATGAGAGCACTGGTCACATAATTCTTCCTTTTAGGGGCTGTCTTGTGTATTGCAGGAATTTAGCAGCATCCTTGACCTCCACTCACCACATACCAGAAACATCCTTCTTTCTCCCAGCCGATGTGATAATCAAAATGTCTCAAGACATTGCCAAATATCCTTTGGGGAGCAGAAGCATTCCTGGCTTAAAGCCACTGGTCTAAGGCAACCCTCCTTATTCAAAAGGTGGAAAAATTGAGGTCCAGAAAGATCAAATAACATGTGCAAGGCCATTTAGCCAGTTAAGGGCAAAGCCAAGACGCCTACTCCAGGCTGTTGACTGGATACACAAGGTACTTTCTGTCCACTTGGGCCGAAACAAAAGATTTGTGGGCATAATCACCTGGGAGCATCCTTGATCCATAGTGATTAGCTCTCTACTGGCTGTCATGTTAATCAAATCGTACCTTTCCATATGCTGCTTGATAGGCCTGAACAATCAGCTGCCGCTGGGCATTTGTCCTTTCAGTCAGAATGCTGATGAGCGTCTTCTCGTCGGTTCCTGAATGAAAGGAAAAGAATGTTACTCACCATCAACCCAACGATGCCTAATATCTGTTGCGAACAAAGGAAAAATGATCAATGGTTTGAAACAAATGCAGAGAGGAAGGCATTTTGATTTTTAATTTCCAGGTTCTTACCAGGTTGGAAATGAAACTGCATTTCTTTGCAGACTTTTGGAAAAGAAAATGAATTTGGGGGAGTTTGGGGGGAAGATAACAATCATTGTCCAAATATTCCTCTTGGTATATCACCAAGGGAGTATTGCAAGGAATGTGCTGCTTTTGACCTAGGGTTTTTTCCCCCCCTTATGAGGTTGTGTTACTGTCCTATCACCTTTTATCTCTCTCTTATCTCCATACTTGAGTCCAACCTTTTTCTCTAAAAAAAAGGAACTGACATGTATTGAGAGCCTGCCATATTCTAGGTGCCTTTTATTCATTGTCATAGTTAATATTCGCTGAAGCTCTGGGCATTGGTAGGATTCAGCTGTTCCAAAGAAGAATACACTAATATTTAGAAAAGTTATCTCATTTGCTAAAGTCATACAGCTTTCTAGTAGCAAGAATGTGAAACCCAATCTCTGATCCCAAACCATATATTTCCCTCTCTGAGTTGTACCACTTTCAGACATCTTAGCTCCATAGACTTAAGTACTTGTTTAAGTGAAGGACTGATGCTGGCCTACAGGAGGCCTCAAGGTCACTATTTTCTTGGTAATTAAAGTAGGAAGTAACGTTGGGAGTTGTGTCCAGGTAGACTGAAAATCCCAATATGAAAATAAGACTGTAAATCTTTGGGGAGAGAACACAGAAGAATATTTTTATGAGCTTGTTACGGAAAAGACACAATAATAAGTATGCCATAAAAAATACTGGCAAACTTGATTTCACTAAAATTTGAAATTTCTATGCAATATAAGTTACTATAACCAATGTTAAAAGAAAATCACAGACTAGAAGAAGGTATTTTCATGGATTGTAATTTAAAAAGAAATTTTACATCCAGAAATAAAAAAAATCTTGTGACTCATAAAGAAGACAATCCAACTGAAAAAATGAGTAATAGATATGAAGAAATAATTCATGAAAGAAGAAACAAATGAACAAGAAAGGAGACTCAATCCTATCAGTCTTGGGGGATGGGGAAGAGAGAGGAAGTAGGCATACATGCAGTATGGCATCCAACTTTAGAGCCACTCAGTTGGGAAAACAGAAGAGTGTGACCTTAGCAAGCATTGGTGAGAATATGGAGCAGGAGTAAGGTTCATGTTCTGCTGGTAGGAATGCTAATTTGTATATTATTTTAGAGAGCAGTTTGGTGAATTTTCTAGTTAATTTGAAGACAAACATCTTCAACTCTGAAATTCCGTTTGTTATATTCTAGAGAAATGCTAGCAAATGTGCACAACAAGATGTAAGCAGGAATATTCAATGCAGCATTTTTATACTGTAATAGAAAAGAATTGTAGGCAGTTTACGTGTTCCATCAATATCCCATCTTATGATCTAATAATTCAATGGACTACTATGCAAGAAAAGTTAATGAACCAGAGCTAAACATATCAACATAGATAAATCTCAAAAACATAACATTAAGAGGGACACCTGGGTTGCTCCATTGGGTAAGCATCAGACTTCAGCTCAGGTCATGATCTCTCAGTTCATGGGTTCGAGCCCCACATTGGGCTCTGTGCCGACTGAACAGAGCCTGGAGCCTGTTTCAGATTCTGTGTCTCCCTCCCTCTCTGTCCCTCCTCTACTCACACTCTCTTTCTGTCTCTAAAATGAATAAACATTAAAAAAATTTTTAAAAACCATGTTAATGGACAAAAAGAAATTTCAGAAGGATGTACATACAATACACAATATGATTCCAATTTATATTGATTGAGACCATAGAAAACAATACGTATATACACATGTAGTTACAGAATTAAGTTTCATGAGAATAAACTCTAGTTTAGGATGGTGAGAAAAATGAGCAGAAAAATAGAGAAACTTACAAGACAGAAGTGGCATTACAAATCAGTGTGGAAAGGGAATGGGGCAGGAAAGAGATCCAGGAAGAATCAGCAGGGACGGTATCTGTAATGATGTATTATGATGACCACTCTTGTTGGTAGCAGTGAGGGTGATGGTAGTGTTTCCTATTAAGTAAATATGGCAAATATTAAGATTTATAAAATTGGGTACTCCATACATTTTTTTCCTTATTATTTCACATTTTTTAAAGTCCTTATGATTTCTATAGTCAAGTAAGCCAACTTGGGCAAACTGAACCAATGTACTTTTATTTTTTATTTTATTTTTTAAACATTAAAAAATATTTTTTAGTTTATTTATTTTGAGAGAGAGAGAGCATGGGTGGGGTTAGGGCAGAAAGAGAGGCAGAGAGAGAACTCCAAGCAGGCTTTGCACTGTCAGTACAGAGCCTGATGTGGGGCCCAAACTCACAAACCATGAGATCATGACCTGAGCCAAAATCAAGAGTTGACACTTAACCAACAGAGCTACCCAGGCACCCCTGAACCAGTGCACTTATAAACTGTAATTTTCTTGATTTGCTCCAACATGAAGAGAGGAATTACAAAGCAGTACTCACCAATTCCTCTGATTGCCTTGCGAATCGCTTCAGCATCCACTGATGGGCTGAAGCCCGGATAATCTCTCATTGTCCCTCGGTGTCCAACCTGGAAGGAAATATTTTGACGTACCACTAGTTCAAAATGACCTTTTTGTTTGTATTACATACATTCCCACATACACGTTGGAAGCATAACAAACCCATAATTTGCAACAACTTCCTTTCCCCTCAGGAGTGCTTCAGGAGACTCTCTTGTCCGTCCCCAGCCAGGCAGGCAATGCGACATGTGCTACATATACAAAGAGGCCTCTCCTTTTTCCCCTCTTGTGTAACAAATTAGAAATATACAACATTTGTCCTCTAGAACAATAAATTGTGTTAATCCTGGTGACTCCGAAGACTATTTGCTATAAAGTGGCATCTGCATGAAAGCAATGAGAGAATTTCCTGCATCCTCTTTGTTTTCAAGTGATAGCTCAAGGCTCTTCACTACATCTAACACAGAAGTAACTGTGGTTTACAGACCTCAAGATGTTTTCATTAGTGCTGACCACTGTCCTTGGGGAACCTTACACTAAAGGATCCACGAATGAAAACCCCATTAAGACTGTGTGTTTTTAAGCTTTGTTTAATGGATTGCGGCTGATAAATTCCCTCCTTCTGAAAGCTCCACTAACATAAATCTTCAGGAAGAGCATGGAAATAAAAAATACCACGATCCTAATTTTAAACATACAAATTAGAAACAATTCAGTAAACTGTGAAAGACCGTCTTACAGAAATAATAAAATACCTTAAAACTGCTTAAGAGACTATACAACAGTCACAAAGATGTTGAGAAAAACTCAAGTAAATATGTATTTATATGTTATTTCCTAACTCTTTGAATAAAGACGTCTTTACAATAATAGTGTTTTCTTTCTAAATTGATTTTCCTATCCTATTACTGAATAATATTGGCTCTGTTGTCTTGCACTTACAAGGCTTCATTTGCGCTCTCCTGTAGTGTTTAATATCTTCACAACAAGACATTATCTTGCCACATTAAAGTGAATGGAAAATTAATGTTCTGGCACAGTAAAAAATGAGAATCCACTGATTTGGTAGATCGGGTTGAACAATTTGTTTCAATATAATCAAGCATTGTTTAATCTTAAAGCATCCAAAATGTAGAGTTTGAATTCTAAAACAGTGATTATAACAAGTTAGAAACTAGTTGTGAGTGTGTCCAATCTAAAGGCATCTATAAGAAACCAGTCACTTCAACATAATCTTTGGAGATTTAGTAGATATTTTATGGACTCATAGAGCCAATTGGCTTCATTTCAGTTCTATCCATCTAGGAATTTTTGTGTTGATTTTATCTGTCCACCTTACACATCTGGCATTTTAGAAGATCCACAATTTTGGAGCATTTGAGTGCTTCATGCCCAGCATTGTGCAAGGCACCTACTATATGTTAATATGACCTGAATGATAGCTCTGATAAATGTGTAAGAGTAACCCATTTCACATAGAAGACACCAATGTTTAAGAAGATTGGAGGGATGCCTGTGTGGTTGTTGGTTGAGCATCCAAGTCTTCATTTTGGCTTGGGTCATGATCCCAGGGTCATGGGATTGAGCCCTGAGTTGGGCTCCACACGGAGCTTGGAGCCTACTTAAGGTCGTCAGAAATAACAGGGCGCCTGGGTGGCATAGTCAGTTAAGTGTATGACTTCGGCTCAGGTCATGATCTCACGGCTCGACTCATGAGTTCCAGCCCCGGGTTGGGTTCTGTGCTGACAGCTCAGAGCTTGGATCCTGCTTTGGACTCTGTGTTTCTCTCTCTATCTGCCCTCCCTTTCTCACACTCTGTCTCTCAAAAATAAATAAACATTAACAAAAAATTTTTAAAAAAGATTCTCTCTCTCCCACCCCCCGCCTCACTCCCTCTCTCTCTCAAAAAAAAAAAAAAAAAAGAAAAAAGACATTAATAAGACTGGCGAATTTGTACAAGCTCACACAGCTAGTTAAGCAGCAGAATGTGAATTTGAATGCAGTCATGACCATTCCAGCCTACTCCTAGTCTTTCTGGAAATATAATGCCTGTACAACTTGCGGTGATTCTTTAAAATGCATATGATCAGGTCCTGCATTAGACATATATTGGGATGAGCACTGGGTGTTATATGGAAACCAACCTGACAATAAACTATTAAAAAAAATTTACGGATGTAAGAAATATATTTTCAGACAAATAAAAAATAAGAGAATTAAAAAAAAAGACATACTGAATCATATGGAAATGAGTGTTAAGGTAGACTCTATATGTTTAAGAAGTTCCCAGGTGATTTTATACCACATGTTTGCTTCTGAATACTAGATGGCAAAATTGCAATCAGATTCTTTTTTTTCTACTTTTTATAATGTTTTTTATTTATTTCTGAGAGAGAGAGAGACAGCGTGAGCAGGGAAGGATCAGAGAGAGAAGGAGATACAGAATCGGAAGCAGGCTCCAGGCTCTGAGCTAGCCATCAGCACAAAGCCCAACGCAGGACTCGAACCCATGAACCATGTGATCATGACCTGAGCCGAAGTCGGACGGTTAACCAATTGAGCCACCCAGGCACCCCTGCAATCCGATTCTAAATGTTCATGAAAACTCAAGGTTTCCATTCTAGCTTGACCTTTTCATTGCCCTATACAACCTACACATCAAAATATGCTGAAATTCCAATGCACAAAATTAGAGGAGGTCAAAATTCCCAGTCTGTTCTGTAATTTGCCACCTAGTAAGAATTAAATGGAAAGGAACTGCTTGTTTAATTAAAAGAAAAAAGCCACACACACACACAAAGACACACACACAGCAGCTTGAAAAATGGCATAGAAATTCTGAGATGGAATCTTAGTGAAATTTTTCAGACTGCTTCAGTTATTTAAATAAGCACTATTATTCATTTGATAGGCTTGGTTGCCCGGAACATTCAAAAATATTTACATGACTTATGAAAAAAAAAAACCTGTACAGTAAAATAAATTAACAGAATCTTTTAAACTAGCACATGTCAGTCAGGGAACAAAGTGCTTTACAATTTATTTCAGTCTTACAATGACCTTAACAAGGTAGATTTTATTACAGTATTTCCATTTAAAAATGGAAAAAGCTTGATTTCAGAGAAATTATTTGCTTCACATAACTGCTGCTACGAACAGCCTGAGAATCTGAATCTGCCTGCTTGTGTTTAAAATACCCTGTGCTCTCCACCATATCACAATGCGTCGTCACAGTATTCCACATTAGCAGTTCTCAACTGGATCAGCCACATCCGCACCACTCAGGAACTTGTTAGAAATGCAGATTCCCAGCCCCCACTCCAGTCTTACAGAATCAACTTAACTGAATCGACCTCAGTCACTGAGTCAGCTCTGGGGTTTCAACTGAGGATCTGTGTTTTAATAAGCTGTTCAGATGATTCTAACGCATGCTAAAGTTTGAGAACAACTGCTCTATTTCATTTTCAGTTGTCCAGAAAACCAAAGCAAAACCAAAGCAAGTCAGATTCTCTTCTGGGAGGTGGAAGAAGAAGTTGATGATGAGCTCACTGTTTCAGGAATGCTGGCATTTTTACAGACGACCGAAACTATTTGCATTGCGTGCTTCCTTGCAGGCTTATTTCCTTAACATTTAAACTACTAATCAAGGCTTGACTTTGTTTATTTCCACTAACCCTGACACTCTAGCCAAGTGTCACACGAGTATAGGACACGGATACTTTGTAAAGTCTTTTTATTGAAAAAAAATGTTTTACCAGATTTCCGCATTCTTTAAATACATTTAGTTGCTTCCCTTTTCTCAAACTTGACCTTCAGATGCCCCCAAAGGGAAAATGATCTTGAAAGTAGTTGGAAAATAAATTAAAGCAAGGGATGACTAAATCAAGGGGGACAATAACAGGAGCTCTTGACATTAATAACAATTGCTGCTACTGTGTGCCCATCCTGTGCTAAGCACATTTCCTGCATTAGCTCATTCGATCCTCACAATAAGCTTGTAAGGCAGATGCAATACATACTATTTACAAATAATGTGAAAACCAATGCTTAAGTAGCTTGTCCAAGTTCACCCAGTCAGGAAGTGGTCAGTCTCATCACCTTCTGCTCCTAATTACCAGGCAAGGCTGCACCTCATTTAAACTGTCTTCTTCATGTCAATATCATCTTCTCTGATCTTCTAGAACTATCCTTTGAAGGTCACTCAGAGTACCTGATTTCTGGAAGCCAATGGTGTGGTCAAGCTGGGCCTGGAAAGCTGTCTGCTGACACCCCCCACTCCTCCCCGGGAGAGGTCAGTCTGTCCTTGAACCATGAAACCCGACTGTACTCAGTTCTTCAAAACCAGTGTATTGGGTTTGCAAGAAGTTTAACATGCATATTCAGAAGGATGAATGAAAGAGAAAAACACAAGGCACCAATCCTGTTGACAGGAAACCTATTTAAAACATACGTTTTGAGGGTGAGGTAAAGCCAAATCACTCATCACTTCATAAAGTCCTGTAAAGGCCATATCCTAAAATTAAGCTTTCAAATCAATGCCTCATATAAACTTCCAGGACTCAGGAACTCTTGAAAAGCTGAGGACAAATGATCACTCTCTGCTCGATGTCAAAACAGTCTGTGGGGTCACAAAGGTTTATGATAGAAAGAAAAGTGGAGNGGGGGGGATGGGCATGAAGGAGGGCACTTTGGGGATGAGCACTGAGTGTTATGTAGAAACTAATTTGACAATAAACTATTTGTAAAAAAAATAAATAAATAAATAAATAAAATAATAAAATTAAATAAATAATAATAAAGTGTAAAAAAAAAAAAAAAGAAAAGTGGAGTAAACTAAAAAAAAAAAAAAACAATAAAGCAATCATAACTTGTAAAATGTGAGACTTCTCACTCAATTTTTCTAGTAAAAGCTGGTTTTCAAAACCAAAGAAAGCTTAATGTAAAGGGCCCTGAAATGAAATATGGTCAAGGGATGCAAGTGTTATGGGATGAATCGTGTCCTTCCAAAACCATGTGTCGGGCCAAGTGCATGTGACTTCACAATGTGACCTTATTTGGATAGAAGCTG